ATTAGTGAAGACAATACAGGAGCTAGGCACAATAACAACTTTATTGTTTAGTCATCATTACAGGAAGTGTTCTTCTCTGTTTCCGGAGAGTTACCTAGACAAGGAGTCATAATATAAAGGGGGACAGGGAAAGCGTCTACAGTATGGACACTTTGTTTGGCCACTGCCTTTCAAAGAAAAAAAAACAAAGTTGCCCAACAATAGGAGCTTCGCTTACTACATCTAAAACGCAGGTTCTTAATGGATAGCAAATACTATCAGGATTGCAGGACATTTATGACCGATGTAATAGTAAGGGGCGAAGCAGAGGAGGTACCAAGTTATTCGAACTGCAATGACTGTATAGTATAGTACATTCCTCACCACGGAGTGTATGACCCAAATAAGCGGGAAAAGATCAGAGACGTCTTTGACTGTGTAACGAAATTTCAAGGCACAAGTCTGAACGACCAATTATTGCAAGGCCCGGACCAGTAAATACATTGGTGTAAGTTCTATGTCGATTCCGTCTAGAACCAATTGCCATCATATGCGATATTGAGAGGATGTATCTTCGATTTCGCGTCAGCAAAAATGACAGCAATTATCTATGCTTTCTATGGTGTCCTGGGGAGGATCTGAATGAGTTTCTTCTCTCGGTTTCACTATCTTTGCCTTAAAGTTCATTGTCAAGAAGTATATAGATCTAGGATTAGAGGCCTCCCGATTCATCTCAAACGATTTTTACATGAATGATGGCCTTACAAGTGTCAGCAATATATTTAATTCATGATGGTTGTGTTTTATGTGCAAAGGGAAGCTTGCGACTCCACAAGTTTGCCTCAAATGACAGGAGAGTCATCGAAACCTTTTCAAAGTCAGAGAGAGATCCAGTAGATCTTGACCTATCACTGGAAAGCTTAACCGTCGAAAAAGCCTTAGGGATGAAGTGGTGCATAGAGTCGGATCAATTTAACTTTCACATAGTGGTGCAGGACCGACCTGCTACTTTGGAGGGGCATATTATCAACAGTGACTTCTGTATTTGATCCACTAGGAATGATTGCATCTTTCATTCTGCAATGTCTGCAAAATAGGCTGCGTTGATCCCCTTCTAGATGAAATTATGACAATGTGATCAAGGGTCAAACTTTGTAGGTGCAAAAAAACGAAACGAAAAGCCGAACTGAGTAAGCTGGACATGAACGCGTTGAAAAACCTTTTTACTTCGCCACAACTGTGACTTCATCCTCAGCACCCATGCCTACAGTCATATGGGTGGGATATGGGAAATACAGATTGGGACCGTAAAAAGTGTACTAGATGGCCTATTGACAACTCCAGAAAATAGGTTGAGCATGTCATCATTGCGAACCTTTTTCTATGAGGCCATAACCATTGTCAACAGCCGCCCATTGACGGTTCAGAATCACAGTGATGCCGGTGATCTAGTCCCTCTTTCCCCAAACCAGCTACTGACCATGAAAACCGGAAGCGTTTTGCCACACCCTGGTGACTACTTGAAGGAAGATGCCTCTGCCAGAATAAGATGGAGACAGGTTAAATATATATCTAAGCAAGTCTGGAAAAGGTGGCGAACAGAATATGTGCAGACCCTTCAGACTCGCCAAAAGTGTATGCAAAACCAGTGCAACCTCAAGGAAGGAGACGTCGTAATCATCAAAGATGACCCCACACCACGCGATTACTGGAGTCTCGCAAGAATTGAGAACACCATTAAAGCTCCAGATAGGTGTATACGGAAAGTACGCATCTTGGTGGGTGAACTGATTGGAGACAGAAATGGAAAACGCATAGTAAAGCCTATGTATTTAGATAGACCTATTCACAAATTAGTACTGATGATTCACACAAAACTAAATGTGCATCTATTCCTGATATAAAATCACAATGGTGATTAGGGGGGGGGCTGCCGCCATACACGTGTTAGTAAAATCAGTAGGTTCGCTTTTCGCCAACCCCACTCCGTGTCTGAGACCACTGATGACTAGACCATAGTTTTATAATTTCTTGAAAGAAAATAAGAGAAATATTACATAGTCAGGATAAAAACAATAGGTAATCTAAAAAAAGGCGCTTTAAGGCTAGTGATAAAAATGACCAAAAGGTTAGCAGGTCCTCTGATTCTGGTGTACATGAATTTGGTCCCTACGCAAGAGTCTCGTAGGAAATTTTCTTTGTTTTTTTTTTTGGGGGTCTTGGAGCGGTCAGACCTGTTTTTCGTCACGCTAGGTACATTTGTAGGAGTTAACTCCTCCCTAATTGTCCAAATTGTTCACTTGCGGTCGCTCTCCCTACACTATAAATACTGGGCGATTTCTTGCTTCGTCCTCTTTTTTTTTATTTCTTCATTTTCAGCGAACACATCTACAATGTAAGCTCTTGCAGAAGATTGCGTCTTCCCACTTGTGGGAGACGCCATGAACATTATACACACATACACGTACGTACGAATATTCATCAAAATACAAACTCTTTACGTTCACGCAGAAGCACAAATGTTAATGTCTATGTCTATTGTAAATATTGTTGTTTAATATATATGTATTTATATATCGGTCTTGTTGGTTTTCTTTACATCTTCAGTTGGATTCAACTTGAGTCCGCCATATTCTTATAGTGGACCTTTTAATGTTCTAGTAGGAATAAACACATATGTTCCTAATTTAACAACACGTAAACCCATGGTCCGCTACACATTCAACGATGCTATAAGTCAAATCGCTTAGCCCCCATGATGTCAACGAGGTAAATGCTGTTTCTCAAATTGTACACTTTAGTTTAAATCAAGTATTTCTAACAAACCATACACATAATTTACGCATTCAAAGTAAATAAGTTTGAATACCCTAACATCATTTTTAATGAACAATTTATTACTTTCGTGAAGTAAATTGTTAGCCTAAGCATAAATATATTTCTGCTGATTTTATTAACCACACTTTGTAAAACTTCATCAGAAGTCTTGTTTGTTCTGTGTAACCTTTTGCTGTATCTATGTAAAGTTTGCTGTTTCCTTATAAATATTTGCCTTTGCACCCCTATGTACATTTTCCCCATTGTGCGTATGTAAACTCTTTTGTCTTAATTGCAGCTTTTTTCACAGCTGCATATGTATTTGATGGAGTCCTTCAACACAATTCGCACAGTTTGTCATTTCTCTCACGCATTCAAACGGGGCGAGCTGGCACTAGTTTTGCATACACTGTTGGCGAGTCTGAAGGGTCTGCGACGGCGATTACATTGGCCAAAATTATTTCATTTTCTGGCATTCCTTTCTTTTTCATATTTTTTTTTTTTAATATAGTAGAGCCTATCTTATTTTGGAAGAGTCATAGGCTCTGGTCCCGCAAATTTGTGGTGTTTTTCGATGAGGCTCAGTCTGTTCTTCTTCCACTTTATTTGAGGGTTGTCTTTCCCATTAGTTGAGAGAGAAGTATAGAAAGAGAAAGAAAAAAGATAAGGGTTTTTAAGCAAATGTCTTATTTTTATTTTAATTCTTTTTATTTTTATTTTTTATACATATATATTTTTTTATTTTTTATCGATACTCATCACATGCTCCTGTATGCCCAACAATCTTCTTTTCCTAAGAAATAACTGATCCTTTTACAATTTTAATGTAATTGTAATCCTAAGAGTTTTTTATTTTTATAAAAAAAAAAAAAAAAAAAAAAAAAAAAAGATTGGCCTCTCTGTATAATTGTCGTTACGTTATGCAACAAAAACCATGTTTGTTCGGGAAATTAACACTTTTTTTTAACAGAACTGCTTTCACTGGCATTAGGGATAACTTGAAAAGTAAAATTAGGGTTGCCATATGGATGTCATGGCTTATCGGCTGGATTTACTCGGACATGTTGTTATCCATTACAATTATTATTTAGATTTCGAAATTAATGTCACGATGTTATGCAAACCTACAAAATTAGTTATCACAGCTGTTTCAAGCCCAAGGTTACGACGCTGAAATCTATGTCGGGCGGAGGTAGGGTGTCCTCTGTTTATTTTGTTTAGATAAAAATAAAAAATAAAATAAAATGGAAAAGCTAAATCAAATGAGTTAGGTAGGTCTTAGTTTTTTTATGTACAAGAAAATCGCTTTTCTTTCCTACCTCAGAATACAAAGTTATTTTTTCTTACAGTATGCTAGTAATTCCGATTCACACTGGGTGCCACAGTACACTAGAGTTTCAAAACTTGTACGAAGAAAGAAAAAAAGGTGGATAAAGTAGAAATTATTTAAAATAAAGTATTAAGAAAAATTTAACAAAAATGAAAACAAAGAAATTAATCAAATTTAAAATGAAAAATGTAAAAACAAAAAAGTTTAATAAATAATTAATTAAAAATATTAAACTACTAAATAAAATATATGTTCCTTTTAAAAGTTTAAAATTATTATAATTGGGTGGAAACTGGAGGAATTATTTACTCTAACAAAAAAATAGAGGAGCAGGAAAAAGAAGAATATAACAAATGATAAAAAATTGTCAAAAAAGGAGTAAAAGAAGAAAAGGAAAAGAAATGAACTAGAATGGTTTTAAAGAGAGAGAATGCGTGGTCATAAAAAAAAAACAGTGATGCCTTTTCTTTGCGTGTTTGCAATTTAAAATATAATTGACAATTTGGTGACTCAACTGAATCGAATCGCCTCACTGATACTTTTTGTTTTTGATGTTTCAAATAATTGTTTTCTTTTTTTTTCTCTCCCTCCCCCTCTCTCTTCCCCCACTTTCTCATGTTAGTATGTTTAAATATCTGGTGACATTACGCGTAACTAGTATTTCATCTTCTTCCCTTTTCAAAGTGAAAGGAACAAACAAACAAAACAAAGCAAAAAGTAAAACAAATTTATTATGTAGGATTCTGGATAATAGATAAGGATGTGTAATAAAAAAATATCCTGTATGTCACTCAGTCAGTGATGTGTCAGACGATAACTGAAAAAACAATTGCAAAATCATTTCTTTACTCACTGTCAAGAAAAGAAAGAACAAATGGATTCGACGCAAAGAAGCGGAGAGATGCCTTCGACAATCATCATTAGCAACAATGGTCAAACAAGAATTGAACAACAAAAAAAAGGTAAATAAAAAAGGGCTTAAAAAGCATTTTTTAAGAAGTTATAAATAGAAAAGAAACAAAAAAAAAAAAACGCGAGTAGTAATAATTGAACACTGTTGATTTGTTTATCAAAATAAACCAGACTAAGTTATTAGCAACTTCATAAGAGAAGACAGAGATGTTTTTATTTTATTTGAAAAAAAGTGGTTCACTCTTTTCTTTTTTGATACAAAGTAACAAAGTCAATTACTTTTGATTCAAATAATAATGTAGCCTTTTTTTATACTTACGTTATTGTAAATAAGCATAATTTTTAAAAATTACAAAGAACATGTATTTTTGTTTAATTATAAATTATATCATATTTTTATTATAGTAATGATTTTCTGATTAAAATGAATCGTAAAATAAAGTCTTTACTACAGTTTTTTTTACCCTAAGTTCTGGTTTGATTTGCATTTTTTGTCACAAATGATTTTTATTTTATACGTGATAAAATTCAGCATTGATTGATTGACAAATGACATACAAGAACTTGGTCCATAACTAGTGTATGACTGCAAAATATTATTAGTTCTAATAACTGTAACTATGTGTCACTGAGTTAAAAAAGAAACACACACACACACACACACACACACACACACACAGAAACAATATAGTAAAATTTTCAGTTATTTTGGTTTTTTTTGGTTTGTTTTTGTATGCATAACGAAAGACAAAAAAGGAAAACGCGTTTCGTCCTCTGATTTAGTGGTGTAGACGAAGATGGCAAATGTAAGGATTTATTTTGCAACAAGTATTTTTAGAAGTAAATGTCAAAAAAAATGTTAGGTTTTCCTTTTTAAAAATCTTTCTATCACACACATTATCAATCAATTTTCAATTGTGTTACTGGTGAAAAAAGGAATCCCCCCCACCCCCGGTTAAATAATCATCAACAATCTCATTAGTTAAAGATTTTGTCAAAGAGTTCGAACTTTCTTTTTACTCATTAATTTTGAATGGAATCGTAGGTTTCCATATCCAAGATACAGTCTTGAACCAAATGTTAAATAGTTTTTCTTTTACTTAATAAAACTTTTACTGTTCTGAAAAATATTTGTAAAAATAAATTTCATTGTACAAAAAATTTACAATGTTTTTTTGAAAATAAAATCATTTATATGGATATTTATTTTAATCACAAAACATTTAAAAGCTATAATGCTTTTTTTTTAAGTGATGTCGGCAAGTGCGTGGGACATAGGTGCAAGCGTACAATAAGCGCAACTTTGTCAGAGTTCTAGTAAGAGATCGATCGATCTATTAGATTTGATGCGGTACCGTAAATACCGCCAAAATGAAGACTCGGTTTATTCAGGAAAAAGATACATGGGTAAAATTCGGTTTCAAATCTGTAAAAAAAAAAAAAAAAAAAAAAAAGCTACAAGCCTTATGGTTTCAAAAATCAGCTAAAGTTTGCAAAGAGGTGTGGTTTTCTGTGATTTTACTTTGACTGTACCAGACCTCCTCTTACATTTGTTTCAATTATTGAAACAAATTCATGAATACAATATTTGCCATCTTTTGCTGTTCAAAATGGGTGAACTTGGTTATTTTTCACACCCGCAAAAAAAAAAAAAAAAAAAAAAAAAAATTCTAAAAATCATAAACAAGTATTTTGAAATGCTATTGTGCTAACAAATTTTCCTGGATTAATTTAGTTGTTTCAAGCATTTAAAACTCAAATAATATTAAAAATAATAATTAAAAAATTATCTTTCTCTTTGTAGAAAGTAATCACTAGTAATCTTAAGCAGTTCTTTCATGTGAAAAATTCATTAAAATGCCACAAACTTACATACTTTATTTTTGGATAACTCTCTCGGCTATGTGGAGTAACTGTAATTAGTAAAAGTTAGCTTTATGAGTGCTTTAAATCTAGTAAGTTATTAAGTTCTTTTTTCAAACCTTATTTGAGATGAGGCTTTGCTTTTTATGTAAAAAAAAAAAAAAGAAGTGAAATTAAAAATAATATAATGCCAATGGTCATTTTGAAATAGATCCCCAAAAGCCCTGAGATTCTATAAACGTTTTTTTCTTTTTCTTTTTAGAATATGAGCATTAATTAGTAGATGATATCTTTCAGATCATCTGTTTAGAGCTAATGTCAGTGTAAAGATTAGGTTTTGTTCATAATTTGAGTTGAAAATTTCACACATTTTGCCATGTTACAGACAGTATTCTGGCAAAGTGCATAAAAAGCAGAATTGTGTCATTTATGTGGGAAAAATTGCACTCATTCATATTCATTGAATGCTTGCTGAATGTTCATGGAGACCAAACATAGCGGAAGTAGCGCAATTAAGTGTTTGGTTTCAGAAGTGTCAGCAACAAGGCACATTTGGTTTGATGAATGACTATGTAGACAATATTTTTTTTACTAATAACTATATATATTATTTAATGATGGCATTGTGGGAAGTGGGGATAATTTGTCACCTACAAGGATGTGGAGATGCTTTTGGAATTGAGACTGGAAAGTGAAAACTAGGAAGATCCTGCCATATATGGAGGCAGTATTCCATTTTCAGCCTGATTAGGGTATTGTAATGGTAGAGGATAGCTAGATGAATATGATATTTATTAGAGAAGTACCGGGGGCTGACCATTTTTCCAGCATCTTTAATGATGGATCATAGGTACAAGTTCAACCTGGGTCGAGTTTAAGTCCTAATAGGCATTCACAGTGTCGAGCCTCCCTCAGAGAACACCTACTCATCACAATATGTAAAAATTCAGGGCCCTCTCAGTGATGTTGGAATATTGTTAGTTTTGTTTTCCAGGCATTCAAGGTGAACAACAGTCTGGCCAAATGGAGTCTGACATGAAAGTACATAAGAAGCAGTGTGTGTCATTAAATTTCTTTATGTAGGAAAAATTTTACTCATTCATATTCATTGACACTTGCTGAATGATCTATCCTGCTATTTGCCCATAGCTTTAGAAGAAGAGGATTCATACCTTTTTCAAGGATATTAGCACATAAGTGAATGTAATCCATTACTCCATCATGTCTCTGAACTGGAATTCGAGCATTTTTACATTTGTTTTCATTTTTTCACAATTTTAAATTGAATAATTTATAAAATTTTAAATCTTTTAAAATTCATTTTCAATGTAATAATTCTTAGGAAATATTGTTATTAAGTAAAACTATATTTACTAATAATATATTGTAAGGCTTATTACAATCTGACGACCCCGAATATTTTAAAAAGAATTTTGATTTGTTTTTGTATGTGTGATTATGTGCAGAATTTCTGAAGTATGGATGTAAAAACCAATAAATCTAACATTAAAAGGTCACATGTTTTAAGGGTTGTCCTCCACCATACTTAACTACGAACATGTTCAGCTGTCAATAAATCGGTTAACATGTCAGAAAAACAAGACCCTGTAATTAAGAAATGTTTGTATAAAACATTTTATGCTATAAGTAAGTAATATTTGTTTCAAATCAGATTAATTTGTTAATTTTCCTCAAATAACACTTCAGAAATATATATTTTATTTTTGTAAGATTTTAAAAACCAAGAATTAACTTTTGCTTACAAATGTGTCAAAAATTACCATTTTGATTGATTTACTGAAAACTAAAAATCAATTCTGATCAATATAATTTCTGTTTGATACACCACAGAGTATTTTTGCTTACTGGAAATAGTAAATTTTAAATCTTTTAGCTTTCAATTAAAGCTACAATTAAAACTTTAAGAAAGTTTTTTTCATTTATAAAAATTCATTTTAAACCTTATGTATACCAAATTAGTGGAGGTACCTAATATATATTGTTTTACCTTTTTGCTTGCAGAAGAAAAATATTTTGTAGTTTACCTTTTACTGGTAGAAAATGATTAGTTCAATTGGTGAGTGAATTTTAATTTTATATATAACAGTGGACATTGAGACCAACACAAAGCAGCAACAGCCTGCTTCATGCTTAAATGCAATCTTCAGGTCACGTGCTTTGGCTCAACTATTTATATATACTGGTCAATAGTACATTATGGGTAGAAGGTCTATTGTGTTATCCTAATGGTTATTAAGTAGGTGGTAACAATTATGTTCCAAATTATTCTAGAGGCATTGAAGTAGAAATAATTGCAGATCCTAATGCAATTATTTGTAGCTATTTTAGTGTTGTTTGTTAAATTTCTTTACTCATTATTTATTATTTGTTGTTGTTATTATTATTACATTTACTTGGAAATCCACTATCTTTTAGGACTGTTTTGTAATAATTTTTGTCTTTGTTGAAGATGGTTTCACTGGAAGAATCGTTAGATAACCTGCAGTTAATTGATTGTAAGATCTGCTTGATTATTGATGGTGGTTGGTTGGAAGATGTGTATATGTTAAGTGGTTTGTCATTGTGTCTTCTATATGGTTAATATGTATCTTTTATCTTTTTTGTCTGTTACAGTTTCTTAGGATTATGAGGCCATCGTTCTTGTATAGGCCTATATCATTTTTAGCAATTATTTTACTTAGTTCATGTAGTAAATGTATACCTATAAGCAAGCTGGTTTCTGAACCATCAAAGCTTCCCAATGTAATGCCAAAAGTTCCTTCTTTCTTTATCCATGCATCTTCATTATTCAGTTATCTTGGTTTAATGGTTGGGCAATTATTTTAGCTCCAATGTTAATATTGCAGTTTTTAGTGCTTTTCTGTATGTTTTAGTTATGTTGTCCATTAGTAGTTTGTTGTGTTTTTTAAATTTCTAGTTCTGTCTGCTGCAATAAATGCATTAGGTGAATTGTTTATTTTAGTTATACTTCATTTTATTTTTTTCTGGAAAACATCTAACTGTTTATGAAATTTTATGTTTCTTATTAAGTTAGTCAAGTCTCTTTCAAAGTAGTCTAATTCCTTGTGTTATAGCGGGGGGGGGGTCAAATTTTTTGTTTTAAAGCCGTATTTTTCCTTGAGTGCGGAATTTGTGTTAAGTTCTTGGTTTAAAAAGAAATGCACAT